AGAGGGATTGAACTCTGGTCCTTGCACTTGCAAGGCAGGCCACCGAACCGCTGAGCTAAATCCCTGGCCCTAGAATTGAATCTTAAGATGTATAGTTTAATAAGGTTCTGCAATTGATCCCCAGCACCAGGGAAAAAAACATATATAGTTTAATTTTGAACTTCTTTAATAATCACTGGTCAATGTTCATCAAGCATTTAAAGGATAAAAAGAATTGAAAATTAAATACTTTTCAAAAAATGTTTTTAGGACTACCAGAAGTTGATGTGGTTTTTTTGTTCTTTGGTTTTTAATTTTAGGCCAAGTTGAAGAAGCAAAGTTAAAAGAGGCTCAGTTGCGAAATGAGCTCAAGATACATAACATTGATATTCCTACAACGCAACAGGTATGGTTTCCAAGTATATTAAAGAAATTTGCGTTAGAGTGAGCCGTGTACATTTTTATTAGGAGTGCTCTGGCCACACTGTGTTAGGGTACAGAGATGTATATATGTACACGGCAGTCTACTCACGCTCTCGGCTATAAAAACAGCTACTGAAATGATACAGAACTCTTTTCCAAGAAATTGGAATTTGCATTTTTAATGTAGTAACACTAATCAATAGTTGATAATATACCAAGTACTAAGTTGAAAGGTTGCATGAGCAGTAAACAGTGTACATGATACTAAAGAAAGTAACAGAAAACAGTGTAGAGTTTTTAAATCTTACAGTCTTTATATGTATAATTCAGTTCTAAAGTAGCGTAGGTGGTCTTGATGAAATTCAGTGTGTGGCTGAATGGTAGCTTAAGATATCGAGCCCTTGGTTTGATCCCAAGCATTACCAAGAGAAAGCATTGCACCCTCAAGCTGTGGGGAGGGCTCAGGGAAAGAGTACTTGCTAGCATGCTCAAGACTGGAGGTTTATCCCCAGCACCACGGATAAAAGAAAAAACATTATACATTTAATGTTATTTGCTTGTTTTTAAGGTGTTGGCTTGTTTGCAGTACTGGGGATTGACTCCAGCGCCCCACAAATAGTTAGGCAGACATTCTACCACTGAGTTATATCCCCAGCCCTTTTAAAAATGTTTTTATTTGGCAGACCAGCCACATTATGTTTATTTTAATGTTGTTTAATGGTAGCACCTGATAAAGAGAACGTCAGGATTGTGGAAAAAAATTTTTTAAATTTTGAGACTGGGTTTTCCTAAATTGCCCAGGTTGGCCTTCCTCTTTCAGTTGTCTTGCCTCAGCCTCTCCAGCAGCTGAGATTACAGACCTGTGCTGCCACACCCAGCATACAGTGGGAGTTTTAGATCACTGTTAACACCAGGGTTGGGTGGTCGTTTTGGGGGGGTTCTTTTTGTTTGTTTGTTTGTTTGTTTTTTGAAACAGGGTCTCACTATGTAGTTGAGACTGACCTGGAACTCACTGTGTAGCCCAGGCTGGTCTCAAACTCACAGCAATCTTCCTGCCTCAGCCTCCCAAGTGCTGGGATCACAGGCGTGCGCCACCACACCTGGCCTGGTTTTTAAGTAAAGCCTGTCAGTTGGCTGCATGTTCTCATGCTTTCCAAACTGCTGGGTTTTCTCTGCTACCCTTCGGGCTGCCTGTTACCAGAACAGTTGGCCTTGTAGCCCATTTGTCGTTATAAATTACAGGTGGAACACATCGAAGCACTTCTGAAAAGAAAGATAACAGAACAGGAAGAGCTAAGGAAAAAACCCAGAAGGTCATGTACTCTTCCAAACTATACCAAAGGTAGTGGGGATGTTTTGGGAAAGGTAAGTCTGCTAAGAAGCAATGCATTGTACTATCTTGTGTAAAATAGTTTGTTTAAAAGTGGTAAAGTGTCAGTTTCTTTTTAATTTTAAATGTGTTCCCATAGGTTACCTACTCTCAGTACTGTGGTAGGGATTTGTCTTTTTTAAAACTGACATTTGCCAGATGAGTTGGCCTGTGATCTCAGCACTTGGGAGGCTGAGACAGGAGCATCACCACCAGTTCAAGGCCAGCCTGGACTACATAGCAAAACCTTGTCTCAAAAGAGCGGTAGAAAAACCCTGCTATCCATGACAACTGTTACTGCTGAGAGCAGAAGTTGTTAAGCCTTCATTCAAGGAGTGTTGTCCATTAGGGATACTCTCTTGTCATAGGGCTTCACGAGGAGCCAGTACTTCTACAGGAAACAAATTTAAGGCAGGCAGCAAAAGAGAAATAGGAGATACCTTCTGGGTCCCACCTCTGATGCTGTTAGAGCGCAGTTTCCCAGATTTTAAGAAAAAGAACAACGTGAACCTTTCCTTGTAGTTCCTGCCAAGGGAGCGAGTGCTATTCTGTCTCTTCTGCTCTCTTGTGAGAACCAAGAACCTTTGGACTCTTGAGTTTTCTGAATTAGAATGTGTGTTTGCAGCTTCTACCCTCTAGGTGTCGCTGCATCTCCTTACATCTTTATCTCCACTTCTTTTTTCAGTGCTGTTGAGATTTGGGGTGTATATCACATTTATTTTACCTGTAAGTTTTTCCATTTAATAGTTATCTTGTTGATTTTATACCCCATTTTGCAGTAAAGGAAACTGAAACTGAGGTATAAAGAGATTAAATAACTTGGAGTTTGCTCAGCGGGGCAGGTGGCAGAACCAGGGCTGCAGGAGGCCGGCTGACTGCAGTGGCTCCTCCTGCGTGAGGAGCGGAGCCTTGTTTCACAGCGGTTAGGGACTGTGTGTGGTGTCTTTGGTCTACATCTGAGGGACTGAAGTTCAGGGGCCTTGGACACCTTCCTGTTCACTGTGGTCAACGGCGGGGCTTGGCCGTGAACCAGGCCTCCCCAGAGCTGACACGCGGGTCGATCGTCAGAGGCGGCCAGCGCCCGCTTCCGCGGAGGAAGAAGGAGCGCAGCCGCCGCCGTGCCCGTTAGTGTTGCTCCTCAGACCCAGTCACAGAGCGAAGCCGCGCGGTGACGCTGAGGGCGCCATGGAGCGGCCATGGGGAACCCCTCAGAGCAGAGGCCCAGCCCCACGTCTTCGCTGCAGAGCGCCAGCGCTTCTTTAGTCCTGAGCACAGCTTTTAGTTTAGAGAAAGCAGCTCATACGTTAACATCTTTTGTCTTAAAAGAGAAGCACAGTAAACCCGCATGCTCTAGGCCACCACCATTGTACAGAGCTATCAGGATAACTGTAGAATTATCTAGTTTCTACATTTTGATGGTTTATTCGGTGCAAAATTCTTCAGTATGTAAGATTTCTGCAGTGTCTACAATAAATTTTAGGAGAAATCCTTTTTTTTTCATTAAGTTTATGGGTCCATTTTAGGTACACAGTACAGTTACATTCGTCATTGGGATCCTGTACCTCTACAGGACAGGTCTTGGTTCTCATTTTTTCCCCACACCCCTGCCCTCCCTTCACCCCCTCCACCCTGCCCTATTTACAAAGACTTTGTTTCCATGTTTTTTCTTTTCTTGTAGTTTTCTTTTCCCTTCTTTCCCTTCTCCTTTCCCTCCCAATTCCCCCCTACTCCTTGAGACGTTTTCTTCCTATTTCACGATATCTGTTATACATTTTGATACTTATTTACACTTTTAGCCTTTCATACCAGAGAAACTATTCGGTATTTATACATGTGTCCTATTTATTTCACCTAAGAGTATTTCCTCAATGTGCTGTAAATACCTCTAGTTTCTTGTTCTTTATGTCTGAGTAGTACTCCATTTTATTAAAAAAACACATCTTCTCTATCCAGTCTCCAGTTGATGGGCAATTGGGCTGTTTCCAAGTTTTACCTATTACAAACTGGGCCGCTATAAACATGGGTGAGCATACATCACTGTGGTATGATTCTTCTAATTCTTTTGGGAAGATACCCAGCAGGGGAATAGCTGGGTCAAATGCAACCTCTAATCCTAATTGTTTGAGTTAAGGAGAAGTATGCTTTAAATTCTCCTATTTAACTAGGAGTGGTAGTGCATGCCTGTAATCCCAGCACTCAGGAGGTTGAGGCAGGAGGGTCACTGTGAGTTTAAGACCAGCCTGGGCTACATAGTGAGTTCCAGGTCAGTCTCAACTACATAGTGAGGTCCTGTCTTTAAAAAAAAAAAAAAAAAAAAATCTATTTAAATAGTTCTTGTATATCTTAAAAGTCAAAGAAATATTTGAAATTTCATCTTATATAATTCCTCTTCTGTTCCCTCAGCAGTACAAGTTCTGCTCTAATCATCTAATCATTAAGAGAAAAATTTCTAAGCCTTCCTAATCATCCTTTATCTTCTCTGACTTCTTTAAAAAATTCTTCCTGGCACTTATGCAAAATTTGCAACAAATAGTAAAGAAATGTAATGGGAAACAATGAGAGGTGTACCTCTACTTTACAATATATTAACTTTTAGCATTATGAATATCTCCATTACTGTGGATTTTTTATAGTCTTTTCTGCCTCAGTTTCACATATCCCTGAATGAGGAAAATTCGGCATCAGTTTTAATAGTTTTTTGATTCAGTTAAATACAGATAATATTCCCTGCTAAATCAACTTTATTCCATTGTTGCAGTATTTCGGAAAATCAGTTTGTCACAAATAAAAATGATTTCTTCTGTTTATATTTGATTTGCCTCCATCGACCCTTCCAGCAGTGGCCATAACATTTTATTCATTGTCATTCACATGTACGAGTGTATTTGCAAGTCTGTTTCCTGTCTTCCACTAATTTCTAGTGAATTGGAAGACAAGGGCAGACGTTATAGCATGTCTTACAGTGACACTGAATTCTCATTCCTAGACAGATTTGTGTACAAGATCAGGTTGCAAAGGAAGGATTAGATAGGACTGAATCAGAGTGACGAGTGGGGTTTTGGTGTTAGTTGGGTAAACATTGCACAGGACAGCTTATGGCTCAAGTAAGTATTTCTAAATAGGAAAATGATTATCCTAAACTCCAGGGGATTCAAAAGCTAAAGGAAATGAGTCTCCTTTGTGATGTTTAGATTTGTTTTTTCTGAAAGAAATAGTGTAATAGTAAAGTAAAATATCTCAGGAAAATGTATTAACTATGACTATTTTATTTAATTGAATCTTAAAACTGCATTAAAGCTGGGTGTGTTAGCACATGCCTGTAATCCTAGCTATTTGAGAAGCTGAGGTAAGAATTACCAGTTCAAGGCCAATCCACGTCCCAGAGTAAAATAGAAGGGCTGGAGGTGCAGCCTAGGAGTAGAGTGCTTGCCTAGATTGAGCAAGGACCTGGGCTCCATCCCCGCTACCACCAAAAAAAAAGGAAGCCACGCTGATTATTTTGTTGTATATGTGTTATTTAAACATAGTTTTGTAATTACCTATATGTCATCTCAATTATAGATATGTTAAAATATGAAGAAGTATATCTAAATTAGCTGGCAAATTTTGTAATTTTTTTATTTGCCCACTTGCAAATTTGCTGGACTATATGAAAAATTTTTTTCTAAGATTTAACAGTAGAATAGAGAGGTTAATATATTCAAGTCAATACTATTAAGTTTTTACAATTGAAAAAAAATTTTATGGTATTAAGGAAGATAGTTTTGCTTTAAAGGTTTAAGCTTTAAAAATATTTAATATCAAATTTTTATGGTCTTTAAATTTTCTGCTTTGTTTTTATTTTTGCTCTGGACTGGGTTCCAGATTGCACACCTGGCACAGATTGAAGATGACAGAGCCGCGATGGTGATTTCCTGGCACCTGGCCAGCGACATGGACTGTGTGGTCACCATGACCACTGATGCTGCACGCCGGATCTACGACGAGACCCAGGGTCGGCAGCAAGTGCTGCCTCTTGATTCTATTTATAAGAAGACCCTTCCAGACTGGAAAAGGTTAGAAAAAAGGAAAAGTTTTTGTTTCTTTTTTTTGAAAATACATAAGGGAACCGAAACCTTACCAGAACTCCTGCAGCAGGTTCTGGTCTCCTGTGAGCCACTACAACACAAGCTGATAAGGTTAAAGACAAGAACTGAGACTTGGAGAAGAAGCTAGGTTTGGGTCTGGACGGTGCTGCTCCGGGCAGCAGAGACAAAAGTGCCGGAGCTGGCCACTGCTTATTGGGTTCACAGGGAGCAGCAGGTGACTGAGGGGGGCGGTAAGCCTGTGGCAGGAGCACCTTGTGCTGGTGAGGATTTTCAGTTGATTAGGACGTGAGATGAGCAAAGTCCTCCTACAGCAGTAGGTGGGACGAGCTTGTCCCTCCCCAGAGGGAACCTTTCTGCTGGGTTCTCAAAGGCTGGGGATGTCTTCAGCTGATGAAATCTTGCCCATGAGCATCACAGCATTGCAGGGCCACTAAGGCTGAGAGAGCCCTCATGGTTATTTAGCTGTGAAATGATTTTTCCCAAAAATTATGTAGAATGGCTCCCAACATACATTGTCAAGTTTGTTGTCATTGTTAGACAAGAGTTCTGCCACTGAGCTGCATCCCCATTCTAGCTGGTCTTTTATCACAGCCCTTAATTTTAAAATGATCTTTCAGCACCAGGGGTAGTAGTAGATCGTGCCTGTACGCCCAGCCACTGGGGAGGCTAGGAGGAGGATCATAATTTCAAGGCCAGCCTGCACAATTTATTCATACTTTGTCTCAAAATAAACCTTTTTTAAAGAGACTGAAAAATGTAGCTTAGTGGCAGATCACTTGGTTAGCACTTGCAAAGCCCTGGGCTCAATACCCAGATGCCCAACCCCAAATAAATAGTTCTGTGAAAAATACCTACAACAAACTGAAAGGTAACTCAAATCGTCTACATTCTTGTCTTTATCACAGGCACACCCACTAATATAAGTATTTAAATCTGTGTGACAATATATGCTATGTTTTATCGCCAGTTAAATGTTTCTTATATGTTTTATTAAATGTTATTTGTAGTACAGGTATGTGCCATTTGTAAAAATGCACACATAAATCCAAAGCAAATCTTTGCAACAAGAGTTGGAAGGATATTTTGTTAATAGAATACAGAACACTTTATTTGGGTTAAGGCTATAGATGTTGTATCTTTTGACCTATTTATGTCCTGTGAAAATAAGCCAGCGTTTAGGAGACAGTCTTTTGGCAGAGTCATTTACAAATATTAAAACTGCCGCTGGGGCAGCACTCAGGAGGCTGAGGCAGGAGGGTCGCTGTGAGTTCCATACCAGCCTGGGCTACACCTAATGAGCTCCACGTCAGCCTCAACTCATAGTGAGACCCTGTCTCAAAAAACAAAATTAAAACCACCAATCACAGGGTTTAAATGTAAAAAAGCAATAGTTAGCTGTTGCCTTCTTATTTTTCTTTTTGGGTGTTTGTTTTGTTTTGTTTTGTACCAGGCATTGCGCTTGGGACTTTGTGCTTATGAGGCAGGCGCCAGAAGCACTGAGCTAAATCCCCAGCCCCTCTTTTGTTTTTTGAGACAAGGTCTTGCTTTGTAGTACAGGCTAGCCTTAAACTCACTATGTAGCCCAGGCTGGCCTTGCGTTCTTACTTTAATATAAAGATAATGTAAATCTTGTTTCTTAATGCGTTGTATCATTTATTTTTCAAAATACATTTTCAGGGAAAACAATTAGGCATTTGTAATCTAAGTCTTTATATATATATAAATACACACACACACACACACACACACGCACACACACACACACACTTTTATTTTGGCTGTTTTGAATATACCATAAAAGACTAGAAGGAAATTATGACAAGACTTTTAAAATTTTTAAACATATAATATAATAACATTGAATCTTTTCAGAATGCTAAATAGAATTTTACAAGACCTGTAATGGAGTCTAAGCAAGGACTTGAAGCAGCACTTCAAAACAAGTCTGCTGTGTTAGTAAACTCAGGTTATTTCGTTTTGTAATCTAAGAATAGATTTTTTAAAAAACACTCGAAATTTGGGCTCAAATCTGTTGATTCCGAAATTGCACTCTGCTGAAGTATTGGTATTGAGGGCTGAAGTCTGCTCTGTTCCCGTTTCTAGTGCAGTACTGTGCCCCTCCCTCCTCCCTCTTTTTATTTTATTTTCTCTTCTCCCACACTCCCTGCTGCCTTTCCTTCCTCTCTGTGGAGGGCCTTCTGCCGCTCCTGCTGTACCTACCTCCAAAGCTGCACTGTCTCCTCCTCCTCACCTGGGAGAGGAGGTCCTGCCATCTCTGAAACGTGCCGTCCCTGGGCTGCAGGGGGCAGGGCAAGGTCCTGGTGCTGAGCTCCCGCCCTGGCTCTGCGTCATAACTGCCCACTTAGAGGCATCCCACGGGCCGTGTGGGAGCTGGTTATGTGGTCAAAATGGTTTGCAGCACATCATGTGCTTTTTATGTATTTTTTAAATGTTATTTACTCAGTTTAATACCTTTAACTTTTTTTTTCCTTAGACCTTTACCTCATTTCCGAAATGGAAAATTATATTTCAAACCTTTTGGTGATCCAGTCTTTGCCCGAGACTTGCTGACATTTCCGGATAATATAGAACATTGTGAAACAGGTAAAGGATATCGTGGTGGCTTACTTTGTACAGATGTTACACTTGTGATACAGATGTACAGATTACTGGTTATGGCTTAGCTTATAAGTGTTAGTTTTATTAATATTCTATAACTTTTCCTGCCTTCCAGTATTTGGTATGCTCTTAGGAGACACCATTATTTTGGATAATCTCGATGCAGCCAATCATTACAGAAAAGAGGTACGTATTTAATTTCCTTGTAAATCTGTAGGTCCATTTCTAATTGTTTTGACATTTTAATATAGAGCCAGATATAGAAATCATTATTTGATGATACGTGTGCAGATGGCTGAAAAGCCTTAAATATATGAAAGAATTAGCCAAGGTACCAATTGAATAAATTACTTAAGCTGGGCTTGAAGTTGGGATCCTCCTGCTGCAGAGCGCTGGGATTGTGGGCCCAGCAGCAGCGCACCCAGCAGACTGGGCCTTCACAGTGACGACGCTGGAGAAGGCTCCTGTCCCATGGCAGCAGTGGAAGTATAACCGGTCGCTCCAGCTGCCGGAAGAAAATGCCACAGACTGGGTGCTTCAGCACTGAAAGCTGGTTGTCTCGCAGGTCCGGGCTAGAAGTGTATCTGTAGGGCATCAGCAAGGTTGGTGTCTTCTCAGACCTCTGAGCGAAGGATCTGTCCCAGGCCTCTCTCTGCCTCCCTGTGGCTCTCCACATGCACGTGTGGTCGTGCCTCAGTTTCCCCCTTGTGATGGAATCGCAGTCACACTTGATTACTTCTGTGAGAATGCTAGCACTGAGTAAGGTCACTTGGTAAGGTACTGGGGGGTTAGGACGTCACCGTGGAGATTTTGAGGGGATTCGGCTCATAGCACCTTTGGAGGGGAATTTGGTAACGTGTGTTTCGGCTGTAAACAGACTCTTCAGAAACAGTGACGGCCTGTGAGTCCGCATAGCTTGGTTGGTTTCTCCAGGAGGTGTCGCTGCTCGTACTGAGGAAGGGGATGTACACACAGCTGGCAACTGGTGCTGGCCGTCGCCTGGCCAGTCTGCTGGTGCTGTCCGGGGCTCAGTGAGGCTGTGTGCTGGGGTTTTCTTCTCACCCACTAGGGTGAGCGAGGGCAATGCCATTAGGGTTTTAGAAGTTCCAGCAGGCAAGTGGTGTCCACCTGTACCGGCAGGAGAATAGACCAGCCTCGGCAGCGTAGCAGAATCCTGTTTCCAAAAAAGAAAAGCTTTAGAAGTTGTGCTGGTGAATCGTAGTTGTTGGCTATGCAGGTTGAGGGGCTCATGGCAGCTCTCCGTTCATCGGGATCAGCCTGCCTGTGCTCTGGGGAGGGCGCCGGGGAATCTCTCCCAGGATCCGCACCCTGCTCTGCTCTCCGCGTCAGGAACTGAGTGCTTTTCGCCCAATGTGGACTGAACCCTCCACGTGCACATTCACCTCATGATTCCTGGGCTTTTCCCCAGCTTGGCCTCTGGCAGGTGCCCCGGACAGGGCAAGAGCCGCTGTCTCCTGAGGCACAGCCCAAGAGAGTGCACAGCCCGTCCCGCTAGGCCCGGTCTGGCCGTTCCAGATCCACACCCAAGGAGAAGGACATGGGGCGCATGGAACAGCAGCAGAGAACTCGGAGCTATCACAGGGTTTCAGATAACCTTACAGACATGTTCTGACAAGGGTATCATTGGGGCTGAGCGTGGTAGTGCGCACCTGTAATCCCAGCTGTTTGGGAGGCGGAGACAGGAAAATCAGGAGTTCGAGTCCAGCCTGGATAATTTATTGAGATCTTGTCTCAAAACTTTTTGTTAGGGCTAGGAATATAGTTCGGTGGTAGAGTCACATGAAAACGGAGGCCCCGGGTTCCACCCCCAGTAAGTCCAGCCCCGCAGAAAAGAACAGTCACTAGAATGCGCGGAATCCATCACAGGACGCCTGCGGGGCGCCTGCCTGTGGGCTCAGCCCTCTGGGCCGCTGAGACCCAGCCATTTCAGGCCCAGCCCGGGCAGCTTAGCACCTGAGCGAGGCCTTGTAGAAAAGTCAGGGAGCTGGGTGTAGCTTGGTAGGGGAGCCACAGGTCCACCACTGGCGACGTGTGTCACGGCAGGAGAGGTGGCTGGTGGAGAGGTGCGACCTGTGTGCGCCCTTCCGCGTGAGAGGCGCCCTGCTGCCGGGTGCCCGGGGCTGTCACCCCTCCCTCTTGGCGGCGCGTACTTCAGAGGAGGCCGGCGGGTGCAGAGCGCTTGTCTGGCCTGTTTGTCGCCCTCCCCGTCAGGCTCCGTTTGCCTAACGCTCATCTAGTTTAAGCTCGCACTGGTCCGCCCCACCTCCCTGCCCCCGATTCCCCTTCTCCCTTGTAGCTTACGAGCTTATTAACAGTCTCCAGCGTCCTGAGTCTGCGAAACACTGCCGCCACCCAGCGGTTTCTCATCGCGGAAGCCTTGAATGATTTCCGTTTTTGTCAGCGGTGACACAGGCTGCTCACTCTTTACCGCCTCCTTCTCGCGGCAGGTGGTGAAGATCACTCACTGCCCCACGCTGCTGACCCGAGACGGAGACCGCATCCGCAGCAACGGGAAGTTCGGGGGCCTGCAGAACAAGGCCCCGCCGATGGACAAGCTCCGCGGGATGGTGTTCGGAGCCCCAGTTCCCAAGCACTGCTTGGTCTTGGGGGAGCAGATAGGTGAGTTGGATACCGGCTGCGTGACAGCGCCCACCTCCACGCTGACCCTCCTCTGGGGCCTGGGCACGAGACCGCATGTGAAAAATGAACCCCGATCTCACGGGACGTGTTTTCGTCCAGTGCTTTTTCTTAGCTTTTTAATGTCGGAGAGTTTGGAGTTATGTAGACGGTGAGTCTTCTTCCCTTATTGTCATTCTTGTAATTAAAAAAGTGCTGTTTTGTCTTGTTGAATAAGTACTTTGTCAGATTCTTACTCTGCTGTTTAGGAATTTGGGCTGTTTCTAGTTTGAGTTTATTATTGTAGCCTCCGCAGTTTTTAAAGCTCAGTTGGAAAGTGTTTTCGGAAGACAGCTCATACTGTATGGAGAGATGGGTGCGCAGCATAAGAAAGCCCAGGGAGCTGTGCCCTGCAGGCGGGGAAGGGGCGTCGGCCTTGGGAGCCGCTCCAGGTGTCTGCACCCTAGCGATGCCGTCTGCACAGCAGTGTGACAGTAAAGCACTTCCAGAAGAAAAGGTTTCGTGGCAGGCTGCGGAATCTGTGATGTGCTTGTCCTCAGAGACAGACCGCTGTGTCAGCTGGGTGATGCGGCCACCGGAGAGCTCCGGCCCGGCCGTGGCTGCTGTGTGAGGCGTGCTGTGCCTTGTCCGGAAGCTGGAGGAAGTCGCAGAGTCAAAGGGAATTGGAGACCGAGGCTGCCTGAGGGAGCCGCAGCTCCCCAGCTGCCCGGGTGCATCCTGACCTCCTGACCTCCTGACCTCCGCCCTGGAAGAGGGACAGGGCGGGGTAGGACCTTCCCTCAGCAGCACAGCTCTTCTCAGAGCACAGGGCCGAGAGCCTCGTCCCTGCCTGCAGCCTGCTGAGTCTTCACACTCTGTTTCTGAGCGAGTCAGGACAGACAGGAGAGAGAAGGCCTGGGGATCACGCCTCCACCTCTGCTCCCCTGACTCTCAGTCCCCCACCTCTCTCGGGAGCCCTATCTCCCTACTTCCTGTTGTCTCGCACTTTGCTCCTTATTTATTCTTCCGGCTTCTCATGTGAGAGAATGTGACATTTAAGCTCGTGCGTCTGATTTAGTTCATAGGACATTACGGTCTCGAGCTGCATCCATTTTCCTACGAGTGGTTCAAGTTTGAAATCTTTTGCTGTTTTTGTGGTTGGTTGGTTTGTTTTGTTTCAACAGTCTCTCACTGTGTATTCCAAGGGGATCCTCCTGCCTCAGCCTCTCAAGTGCTGGGATCACAGGCATGCACCACCACACCTAGCTTCCACATCTCTCTTAATGCAGAGTTGTGCTCCATTGTGTGTAATGCCACGTTGCCTTTATCTGTCCCTCTGCTTGGGACTGAGCAGTGGTGAGCTGGCCGCTGTAAACATGGGCATTTGTCACTGTGCTGTGACCCAGAGTGTGAAGAGCGCGGTACGGCATGGTCCGTGTATACAGAAGTGTCCTTGGGAGGTGATGGGTCCTGGAGCACTGGCCTGGGGTGCCGACCAATCCAGTGCAAACTTGCAGGGAGGGCTTGTCTTGGAACAGCGGTGGCGAACCTGTGGCGCACGTCATTATTTTCCTTTTAAGGCAAAAGATGTTCGTGTGTGAGTTGTTTTTTCTCAACTAAAACCTCTGCATTCAGGTTTAATTGCAGTGTGGGCACTTCATGATAAATAAAGTGGGTTTGGGTTGCAGTTTGGGCCCTCAGGCTCGCCATCCCTGTACTAGGTATTCACATACTTTGTACCATGTAAGCCGTGTATGGTGACACACACCTGTGATCCCAGCACTTGGGAGGCTGAGGCAGGAGGATCGCTGTGAGTTGGAGGCCAGCCTGGGCTACATAGCAAGACCCTGTCTCAAAAAGAACACCAAAAAAAACAGATTTGACGGATCATACAAATAAGGTAGAATCTCCAAATAAAAGGGACCGAATTGTACCCAAGAGCAATTGAACAAAATCAGTTTAAATAAGGCAGAACATTTATATAGAATGTTATTCAAGAAAGTGTTCAAAAAGTTAACTCTAACCTATAGAATTTTTAGACATGAGCTTTGTTGTATATCATCCAGGCAAACATGGAGACTGCTACTCATCTTATGAACAAATCGGTTTCCAGAAATTGCACAGAAAAAGCAATTCATATATTACCACTCTTCACTAAGTTATTAACATAGTTAGAAGGAAATAAGGGGCTCAATTATGAATTAATGTCCCTGTATTTTGAAAGGTTTTGCCACGGATATATTTATGGCTTTTTTGTTATTTACTGTTTTTTTTTTTTTTTTTTTT